ATTGGTGTTTCCATCTCAGGTCTACAAGCATCAGCGCGTATATTAAGTTCGCCTGTTTCACACTGGTTTCGACGGCCTATATAAAACAATAGAGATAATTTTAATTGTTGTTATTGTCAATATTATCATACTAAAAAAAGAAATTGTTTCGATGTATTTTCATTTAATTTTTTACGGTTGAACGCGTTATAAATTACTATTGCTTGTTATAGTAATACTATTGCCTTGATAACAACACAATAAAAAAATAATTTTGATGGGGAAATATTATGAAAGAGTTGAAAATTTGTAAAAAAAAAAGGAACGGTTACATTAAGAACAGCAATGACATTCAGAAGAGCACCTGGAACATGAGGAATGACATCAACAATTGCATCAACTGTGAGACATATGAATGTGATGAATGTAGTCGGATTATGCATCGCATGTTCCTCACAATCCTGCAATTTGTTATTCATACTATTACGAGAAAGATAGTTTTTTTTTGCCTTTTTTAACATGTGAAAAAATGCAATGATAAAAATTGCGACTACGTTCTTCCGAATTGGCTTAACATTTTAACTTTTAAATATTTCGTTCCTTTGGTTTTTATTCCACGTAAATGAATCACTTCAAATTAAACATCCGCTTTTTTTAAATTTCAAAAAAGGCAATTAAATTTTCGCATTTATTTGTTAAAATTTTTGTTGAATTTTCGAATTTTTTGCTAAATATTTTTAGTTTGATAAAAATATTTCACATTTGGTAACGGAGATTATTTTTATTTTCCTAACCAACTTCAGTCTTCATAGTACTAATTTGAATGAAAAAATCAATTAACTAATTTTCTGTCCGTTTTCATAAGTTTTTTATTTTTATTTTATAAAACTGAAATTTCGATTTTCCATTTTATTCAAATAATTTGTCTGTTACATTCACAAAATGTAATTTAATTTTACATTTGAATTTAAATCCAACCATTCATCCATCCATCCATTCATCCATCCATCCATCCGTCCATCCGTCCGTCCGTCCATCCATCAATTTTTATTCATCCACACATCTACACCTTGATGGATAATCTTTCCTCACGGCATGGGTAGAATGATGACGACAGCAGTAAAAACCAGGCGGAGAAATTTTTTTTTTTAATTCCGTTACCGTTTGCGTAATTGTTTCTTTGTTTCTACATCTCTCTCTCTCTCTCTCTTTTCTTCTTCTCTCTCTCTCTATCCCTTTCTCGTCATCTCTTTTTTTTCCTTCTCTCTCCCTCTCTCTCTCTCTCCCTTTCTTTATGTCGTTCTGTTTAATTTTAAATGTAAGGGAATCTATGCATCTATTTATGTGTATATATAATTATATATGTATCTATGTATATATTTATATATTCGCGTAATTTTATGTTCATGTAATCATTTATCGATGTAGTTTTCATGTTTCTTTGTCCCTGTTTATGTGTATCTACGTTTTTCTGAAGCACGCACGCACACACACACACACACACACACACACACACACACACACACTTATTAATAAATATATATATATATATATATATACCAATTATCATGTATATATATATACGATATACATATACGATATATATATACGAATATTTATATGGCGCTAATTAAAAAGTTTTTCAAAAGCGTTTACAAATAAAATAATATACAAAATAGTCAGATAAATCAAACATTAAATAAACATTAGATCAGTAAAAAAATGAACATCAATGATTGAAACTACTGCGAAAATAAATATGTTTTCAACATCTTCTTAAATTTCGCAATACCCAAAGCAGGGTCTCGTAGGTCTTTGGGAAGACCGTTCCAGACTCTAGGACCAAACACGGCAAAGCTTCTAGTTCCAAGTTTCTTTTGAGCCAGATAGACAGATAGTTTAAATCGTCCGAACGCAGGCCGAGGGAAGATGATGCTTTCGACTGACATTTGTTCTTCAAATACTCTGGTGCGGAATTATTCACACTCTTGAACACTATTGTGCAAACTTTAAAAATTATTCGCTTGTCGACAGTCTACCAATGAAGCTGAGCAAGAATCGGAGATACATGATCAAATTTATACGCACCATGAACAATTTTTGCTGCACGGTTCTGAATAGACTGAACATTCTAATAGATTTATCGGGTAAACCATAATACATACTGTTGCAGTAGTCCAACCGAGAGTGAATGAACCGCATGCATTAAACCTTCAATCGTGCTTTTGTTCAAGGATTTTCTTATAGAACGTATTTTATGTAATTGAGCAGCGCACACTTTAGTTAGTAGTTTGATGTGATCAACAAACGTCAATCTTGAGTCAACGATCATTCCCAGATTAGTGGCATTACTGCTACACTCAATATTATGTCCATCTAGAGTAACAAAATCAATCTTGACTCGCGACAGCTGCTGCCATGTGCTTACTTTCATCAGTTTAGTTTTACCTTGGTTGAGTTTCAGTCGATTCGATAACATCCACACACTCACCTCAGCCAAACAATGCACTAATCTAGTAACAGCATCTTGAAATTTATCGGCAGGACAGCTGACAATCATCTGTATGTCATGACAAAACATCCCAGATTTATCTATTATTTCTAGTACGTCGGACGTATATAAAAGAAACAGTATCGGTCCCAAAACCGACCCTTGTGGTACACCAGATGTGACAACCTCAGTTATTGACAACTCATCGTTAAACAAAACCTGCTGTGTTCTTGACGTGAGGTAAGAGTTGAAACATGAATGAGCAACACCCGTGACCCCAAAACTGAAGTGGATTCGTTTCAACAGTCTCTCATAGTCGACGCAGTCAAAAGCCGCGCTCATATCTAGGAACGCCAGCAATGAAATATCCTGTGCATCCAAAGCCTTGTATAACACCGACGATATCTGCAGCAGAGCAGTTTCCGTTGAGTGGAACTGTCTGTAACCTGATTGATGAGCAGACAACAAGTTGTTACGCGCCAGATACTTCAACAGCCCCCGAGCAACGATACGTTCGATGACCTTTGAAATAAACGAAAGATTGGTTATTGGTCTATAATTATTTAAATCGCTCACATCCAGATCTGTTTTTTTTAAGAATAGGTACGACTATGCCATGTTTGGCCATTTTAGGGAATTTTCCTGTACTTAGACATAAATTAATAAGTTTTGTAAAAAATCTGGAAAAGAGGAATATATGCTTTTTAAGAAAATGTGTTGGGACACTGTCTAAGATACACGTTTTTGTGGGAGATTCACGTATTACCTTCACAACATCATCTTGAGTACATAATGCGAATGACGAAAATGTTTTACCATCCTTGGTTCGCCTGCTTGGAAATAATGGATCAACACTACCTGATGTAGCCTGTCGAACCCTGTTTATTTTATCTCTAAAGAATTGAGAAAAATCATCACTTGTAAATTTCCTGTTGTCATCATCGCAACTGTTGTGAAGGTTTTTGCAAAGCATTTTGTTAACGTCATTCCACAATCGCTTTGGATTACCTTTATTTTCGTCTAAACGAGTTTGCCAAAACATATTTTTTTTTTCAGTAAAAACACGGTTTTTCATCTTGATAGCATTGACCCATTCTTATCATATATCATATTATCATATATATATATATATATATATATATATATATATATATATATATATATATATATATATATATATAATAATTATTTAGGCACATTTTAGCTTAAATGTGTGAATGCCATGCTAGTATGGTGCACTATTTATTTTAAACTGTTGCGATATTGTTCAGCAATTGGTTATACTTTTGATCTGAAATAAGAAATAAGTATGATGATGAAATGATGAAGAAGATGAAGATGATGAAGAGGATGATGAAGATGATGATGATGATTAGGTATGGTGATGAGGACTGCTAAAAGCGAAATGAGGATGATGATTATCGAACGATTTATCAAGACGTGCGTGTGTGTGCTTGTGTGTGTGTGTGTGCGTGTGTGTGTGTGTGTGCGTGTGTGTGTGTGCGTGTGTGTGTGTGCGTGTGTGTATGTGCGTGCGTGCGTGTGTGTGTGTCTGTCTGTTTGAATTTTTATGAAGAGATTTTAATTTCACTACAAATTGTGCAGATAAGTAACATAAAAAAAAATAAAAAAAGCTAAGATTGGTGTTATAAATGATTATGAAAATGATGGCGAGAGTGATGACGACTGCAAAAAATTATTAAAATGACGATGATGTTCTATAATAGTTGAAAAGTTTTTATGATTGTGATAATAAAAGTGATGATGAAAGTGATAATGATGACTGGCGATGATGATAATAGTGATGACAATGAT